TGAGATTCTTGCTTTATCACATGCATACAAAATACACTTTTTTTCTTAAGATTCCTGTCTAACTTTTCTCCCACAATCCAAGGAGAATTCGAATATTCAAGGCTTCATCTTCTTTTTCGGTCATCTCTATTACATATATTTACATAAATATCATTATACATCATTTATTGCTATTAAATGCCATTCACTTCATATTTGTGCAATTAAGTGCGGTTCATTATTATATATTTACCATTGTTACCACAAATTTTGTAACATTTTGTCACATCACTGGTTAAATAATCTAGTGGATATTATTGTCGGCTAAGATTAATCCTATCTTGTTAAGAAAATCTAANTATATATATATATATAATTTCTCAATTTTTTGAATTTTTTTCTCTCATTTTAATACAATACTCAATTATTAAATTTAAAAAATTAAGGTTTAATTACGGTTAAAGCACCGTTTCAAACAATTCATCCAAATAATTAAAGCTTTAACTGCATCACTTTAATAGATAAAGAAACAGATAATGCACAGTTTCACATATCTCCCAAAAACAACCGTTTTAAACCAAATCCTTATTACTTATCTTTATTTGTTTCTTTTACTAAAATATTTCCTGTTTCCTTCAACTACGTGGGACATGAACTCGTTCAGCCTAACTAATTACACTTTTTTCTTATTTCATGTCTATAAAAACTGCATAAGATCAAATATACCCTACGTATTTGTCCATAGTGTTGTGTTATAATTTATTTTCTTTTCCTATAAAATCTCTCTCTCTTTTCCTCATTTTTCTTCTATACTAATAGGTTCATGACCGTATGTTCATCTTATTAATTATATATAAACATTATATGATGCGGAAAGGTGTGGAACATCTTGGAAAGTGCTTTTGGGCATTCTTATTAACAAAAGATTTACAATGATCCACGTTCTCTATACTTATTTTTAGTAGTATAGTAGGACAAGGGATTGCATCCGTCAGCCGTGGGTAGGAGAGATTGAGAATTTCAATAACTCTATCTATTTACTTTCCTTTCTTTTGTTTTTTGATTTGATTCTATATTTAACATGCTTTAGTTTTTAAACTGCTCAAGTATATTTCTTTATTGTTGAATATGTTAACTATTACTCTATTAGCATTTCTCTTCAAAAATAATTGACTAACTTATGATTAGGGATATACATAGGTCGTATTGGTTCAGATATTATAATTATCAGACCAAACTAATTATATCGGGTTTTTAAATCTATAGACCAAACCAAACCAACAAAATTCGGGTTTTTCAATATCGATTTTTCTCGGGTTTCTCGAATTTTTCGGGGTTTTTCCCCGATAAACTTATGCTCCAGATATTTCTTTAGTCCTAAATATGATTTTACCAATACCAACCATATTTTTATTTTTTAGTATTGACCTCAACTATGCTAGTCAATAGGTTGTATGTTCCAATTTAAGTTCAAGAAAACTGATGGACAAACTTTAATCAATCATCCCTCTTCTTCCAAAGATAATCTTTTTAAAAGAACATATAGAGAAGTCCTTTATAGAACATTTGCACGTCCACAAGATCTTGTATAGCCTGCGATCAACAAACTCTTCAAATATCCTTACTTTCTCATGTTTAATAGTGTCCATTGCAATCATATCCGGAGACAGTGAAATAGTCATAATTTAATGGAGAAGAGGCAAAATAGTTTCGATTGTTTTAGTGTTTTAGAACTAGTTTAGTCTAGTTTTGCTTTAGGACTAGTTTTGGTTTGGACTCAATTATTCTTTTATGGTCCAGACAAAAAAAAAATTTACATAGGCTATAAAATCAACTTAAAATATTATGCTAAATATAGAAATTATAAAAAAGAAGAAGAAATATTTATAACTTACATTCTAATAAATATTTTTATCTATCTAATATATAAAATATGTATGCATGTAATGTCGGATTGATTTGGTTTCGGTTTGACTTTTTTTAGTTAATACCAAACCAAACCTATTATGGTCGGGTTTTATTTTTCAATACCAAACCACTAGTCGGGTTTCTTTTCCTGGTTGACTCGGATTATCGGGTTGGTGCGGGTTATCAGTTTGGTTTGTACACCCCTACTGATGATTATCTGTTTGATTTTAGGCATTTTGCAGTAATGAAATTTTGAAAAAATAATCGGGAGAATTCATCATCAGTTATTTTGTATATGCGGATCTGTTTGTCTTCTTTTTTCTCGTGATCTACCTTAGTATTCTGGTTTACTGAAGAGCTACGTTTATCATATAAATATTATCCGGCCATGTATTTAAAAGGCTACAAAAATTGATCGGAATTTGACGGCGAATTTTTGTCGGTGTGTAATTCTACTCCTAAGAATTAACAAATCGATTAATAGAATATTCATATGTGTAAGCGGTGCATGAAGTATATGTATTTTTATCTCTCAATATTTATGTTTTTTCTTGAATAATATTATCTTTGTTTTGATAGGGGGATTTAATGCTTGAAAAAATTTAAGCTTTAATATTCTCACTTGCAAATTATGGTGAAATTGATATGTACATATTAAAAAACGAGTCAAATGACACTCAAATACAAGTTTGGATCTCCTGCTTATGTATACTCATCACTAATTTGAATTGGAATTGATTTTAGGAGAATTTCGTATCAATGATGTTCTTGAGAATGCGAATACGGTGTCCATCACATCGTGAAGTTTAAGGTTTTATAGTTTTAATAGAGAAAATAGAATAAATTGATGCTTGATTATTATAAAAGATAAATCAACATTGAGAAGGCAATTCATATTTTTCTTTGTCAGATCTTGTGTACTTTATATATATTTATATCTTAAATAAGTAGTATACATATATTCACACACACATTTTAGACGGAAATTTCTATTAGATGAATATGTTTCCATCTTATCCGAATTTCCTTCCACATTTTAGGTGTTATGGTCCTTTTAATCATGTGTGGAGTATTCTCAATATTTGAGTTTTACAAGAATTTATTTCTTTGTTTATGCGTTAGGAAAGATTATTTCATAAGTTCAATAAAGTCCTTTACGACTGCGAAATGCGGGCAAATTTTCTAGTTACAAATATTAGGTAATTATAGTCTGTAAATCGAACCGAAGAGCAGATAGCCTCATTTAAAAGTTTAAGTTAATGAGAGAAATTACATATTTAATTATTATTTGAGTCTGTAATATATATTCTGCCTTGCATATTTGGTCCTTTTTTTGAATATATTTAATATGGTGGCACTGTGAACAAGTTGAGTTATACGAATAATTATCTGAAAGATTAAACTACTAAAGAAAAAATGCATTAACCATTTATTTAGGTTTGCGAAAAATTTGATAAGCTTGTTGTATAATAAATGATATCTCTACCTTTTTTCGAGAATATTTAAAAATATTGAACCTTTCTTTAAAAAATGTGTTTTTTCAAATATTGATAAAATATTTGTCTCTGTTGTTCAAGAATATGTTAAGATATTGAACTGCTTTTACTTTTCAAAATTTTGGTCAAAAACAATTTCGATTCAGAATATAAAACAATTGCCATCGAACTATTTGAGAGCAAAGATTGAAGAGTGTTTGCTTCTGAATGTTATCACAAAGCAACATGGGTATTAATTGGCTGATGCAGACTCAAGAGGGTGAGAATTGCCAACCTAAATCCAGTTCAATACCATCAGTCTTCTGCTGTTCAAATTTAATGCAGTAGACAATTAGGTCTACTTGTATGGCCTAGATTTCTTGGCCTGTTTCTTCCAATGGTTAACATCTCTATAATCTCAACTGTATTTCACTTACCATAATCCTTGAAATTGTTGTCCTCCTTGGTTTTTGAAATTATTACTTTCTCTATCCCAATTTAAGTAACACTTTTAAATTTTATTTTTACAGCTTTAAATTTTATTTCAAAAAATATACATATTTGGAAACTACGTAAAAAGTAATTTAACTCACAATAATTAATAATTTAAAAAATTTAAAAGATATATGAAAAAGTCATTGTCAAAGAAAAATTTGTTTTACTCTCGAAATCTGAACACAACACCTTTACATTAAATGGGACGGACCGAGTAATACATAGCATGTTGGTGAAAAGTGAAATGAAAGAATTAGTAATTTCTTTTACGCAGGGCTATAACTCAACCTTGTATTTTCTCGAACATTAAAGAAAAATATAGATGTTGGGAGAAATAATGTGTTTTAAAAACAATTATTCTCTTTAAATGTGCACCTGAATTAAGAAAAAAAAGCGTACCTGCTTTTACAAAAAACCATTCTTCTCGTTTTTGGTTATACGTGATGAGATGTTGAATTATCTTGACATAAAGAAAAAATCAAGTATAATTTTTTTTAAGTTATAGGTTCAAAGTCCAATTGTAACATCTTAGAATTTTTTTGAATCCCCTATATAAATTTCTTCTGATTTCGCCACTTACTTTTCCGTATAACAGAAAAGCGAGCTAATGAATACGAGAAGGGAGAATTAACAAGGGGTGGAATATACATGAATGTTACTAGTCTATCACTATGATAAAATTTTGTGAAGGGAAGCCTTACCACAAATTAAGATAAAAATTGTTATTGTGTGATTAGAATATTACGGTTCAAATCATAACAATAATCTATTATAAAAACTAAATACAGAAAATTACATACAATAGACTCAATAATATTCATAATTTTATGTCTTTTTTCGAACTTCATGCATAACGAGAATTTAGTGCACACCGAGCTAACTTGTGACTATGATAAGATTTTATATCATCCGAATAACCAAAAAAAAAAAAAAAACAGAAAAATGAAGAAGGTTTTCATTATTCGAACATGAAAAATTAAAAAAGAAAAAACATAACGAGATAGATGTTGACCAAAGATTAAAAAATGATTATCCTTATTGCTTCTGTGAAAAGTCAGCAATGCGCCATAGTGAGGTCCCAACTGTCTCTGCTTAAACTTTTACTGTTACTTCTCAGTTTCACGCCTATAAATACCTTCAACTTTTCCCAGTAATGAAACCTCACAACCAAAACATCTAACTACCCCAAATACCCCACTGAATTTCTCTCCGTTCTAAACATCAATATAAGCGACAAAAAAATGGTTTGCTTCTGTTTCTTAGTTGATCAAACAAAGCAGGTGTGTAAGAGCAAACCAGCGGCCGGAACATGTTCCCGGTGCGGTGGTGGAGCAAGTGTTGCTGATATGAAAACTGCTACTAGGTTTTGCTATGTACCTTTTTACTGGAAAAACTGGAAAGCTATTATCTGTACATTCTGCGGTGCCATTCTCCGCTCTTACCGATGAAATTAATATCGTGTTTGAGTCTCACATTGGTTAAGAGAATGAAACGTAACATTATTATATGGTTTTGGACAATTATCAGCAGCTCATACGATAGTTTTTGGAGTTGAATCAGGCCGAAGTCCATGTTACTAAAATATAGTGTGTATTGCAGCTTCTTCTCAACAGGCTGGATGAGTAATTTTTGAACTAGATTTCTTTCATTTTTCTTCTTAATTATTCTTTTTTGTCTTCGGATTTATTATTTAATTTGTTAGATGATGATTTAAGCTACCATTATTATTTTAGGAAGAAAAATGTACTAACAGCTACTATTGTAAATATATTTGAGAAATAGTATTATTGGATCTATGTTTCTCTCTGTTTATGTTATAAAATTGTTCTTTTTTCCTTTTTATGCTTTTTCATTGGCTTTTTTCCCTTGGTAAACGATATTATTTCGTGGGTATAAATACTTCAACTGCCAGTCTGAGCTGGGAACTGCAAATATCACTGTGTTATAATTGGCCGGCTAGTTCGAGCAAGGTAATTTACTGCTGATCTAAACCAGAAAGATACTAACATCCAAAATAATAAGAAAGAGGAGATGGTATTTAAACCAACCATTCAATACACAACAACCTACATACTAGTACCAAGTTTTTCTTGTTTAATCTTCAAAGAAAAAAAGCCAGCTAAATTCGTACTCTGCAGCTAAAACAATTAAAGAAGGAAAAGATCGAATAGCAGTAGGTGTAGGCATTAGTAGAATGAATATGGCAGATAATGGTCAGGTAGATCACATGCCAAGTGCCTTACAACTGAAGAAAATATAGCTGTATTGTGTTGGTGCTCATAATAAATGCACTTTTAGTACCTGCTAAATTCTTCCGTGTCCATAAATTCTTTTTTATTGCATTATACTCCGATTAATTCGAATTCGGGTTGAGTAAAAAATTTTAAAGGAAGAAGTGCTTCCACTTAAGTTTTTTTTTTTTTTTAAATTTTGCAAGCTCGAAATGGAAATCTCTTATTAAGCATAGATGAGTAATGTACATACCACCACAATCTTTAGTGATCGTGTTGATAAATTAAGTTCCAACAAAAATCGAACAACTTGTTATACCACTGCACTTTGCACCATTGGCTAAATAGACAGCAGAGACATGACATAGGAAAATCCACAGTATATGCCAATATCATGCGATTGTGGGAACTGTCAAAGCCAGCTTTTTTTCATTAATATTCTTGTTGGTGGGTCATTTCAAAGAGTACAATGGTTGTAAATATATAGCTTCATGATTAAGGTATCATTTTTCTTGTGGGAGGCAAAATTCAAAATTTTAATTTAGTGGACTTAGATTATTTCTACAACCGCTATTTTGTTATGACAACATGTATAAACCTATTCTGTGTGTATATTAATGGGAAGAACTTCAGGTACGAAGCACCTCCCCATTTAATGGATCTTATGCGATATAAATTCAAATTAATCGGACCTCAGTACCGGTCATTGACCACGGTATGAGAAACCAAAAGAAAAAAAAAAGATAGTGATGTTGTCTATGCATGCGCTACTTGTAATGTCATTTACTCTTGTACAGCATAGTAATGATAGTTTATGTCACGACCCAAAACCCCCTATAGATCGTGATGGCACCCAATGTCGCCGTTAAACAAGTCAACGGTGAACCATCTAAATAATTATTTATTTTATTACTTTGAAATCATAGGTTTTATTAAGTAAAAGGGATTTACACATTGAAAATCATAGGTACATACATAGTTAGCAAGATATGAAAATAAAAGATGACAATATTATGCAAATCGATAAACATCAACTAGAATATCCCAAAACCCGGTGTCAAAAGTACATGAGCGTCTTCTAAGGAGTGCAATAATAGTACAACATCTGTTTGGAATGTAAAATAGACATGATAAAGTAAATAAATATGATGGAGGCTCTGTGGCCTGAGGTACGTAGCATAGAAAGCAGCTCACCATTAAGTTCCCTCAGCAATTGCGCCTACGCGCCAAGATGACCACCAAATGAACCTGTCAAATACTGCACATTTAGTGCAGAAGTGTAGCATGAGTACGAAAATCAACGCGTACCCAGTAAGTATCTAGCCTAACCCCGAAGAAGTAGTGACGAGGGGTCGATATTAACACTTACTAGTGGTCCAATAAGTCAAATATAGTAAAGTAGATAAGTATGAAACATGGTAAGTAAACAGTAAGAACATATATAGGTAAATAATACGGTCTACGACTGAACAGTGAACACAAAGTCCTCAAACATCAGATACCTCCTCAAATAGAATACATAATGGTCAACACCAAGTCAACGGTCCCATCTCAAGTCAGGAAAACTCATGAGTACCCGGACTCTTTATCAAGTATTTCGCACGATTCTACCGAGGCGAGCGGCCCGATCCCATAGGAGTATTTCATAGAACTGCCGAGGCGAACGACCCGATCCCATAAGAGTGTGTTACAATATCCTGCCGAGGTGAACGACCCAATTCCATAAGAGTGAAATACCATAATCCTGCTGAGGTGAACGACCCGATCCCATAAGAGTGTATTACAATAATCCTGCCGAGGCGAACGACCCGACCCCATTAGAATAAGAAGCTTTAACGGGTCCTTGACCCCACTCACGAATATACACATGAGTTATGAAATTTAAGGAAACTTTTTGTTCAATACGCACAACGCGGATGAAATTCGTAAGGGAAGCACAATTTTTCACGGCTAATCAAGTAGCTCGTCAAGTATCTAAAATAGCAAGTCCGATATTCTACGCGAGACTCAGGCTAAATGTAAATTAAAGCAATTAAACATGCAGAAATAACTCAAATATTATAATTAAAGCATGGCGTAAATCTAAGTTTACCCGAACCTAATCATGAATTCCAGTATACGCACGGACAGTCGTCACTTCATACGTGCGTAGCCCCCACAATATGTAGAACATAGCAAGTATAACACCTACGGGGTAAATTCCCCCTTACAAGGTTAGACAGGAGACTTACCTCACTCTGAAATCCGATAACTAACTCCAACGCTTCTCTAACTCTTCAAACCGATGCCAAACGATCCGAAACTAATCAAACAACGTGCAAACCAATCAAAATATACTGCAATACTCATAATTTAACAATTTGTAATAATTCTCAACTCCGCGTGAAAAGTCAACAAGGTCAATGCCCGTGCCCGGATTCCAAAACTTATCAAAAATAAATATTATCCTTAACTTATAGAGTATATATCCAAAAAAATTATCTAATTTCATCCACGAATTGACCCTCAAATCAAGGATTTACTATTTCTCAACTTTGCGGCTCAATCCTCAATTTCTACCATCCAAAACAGATAAAAATACTAATCAACGAAAATAATCATGGAAAAAAAATCAAAATAAAGGTCAGATATTTACCCTCTTATTGATATGAGAACAACGCCACAAAAATCACCTCAAACGGAGCTCTAAAACTCAAGATATGCTCAAAATACTAAAATGCTCGGTTTAAAATACTGCTGAGATGATTTTTGTTAATCGCCTTTGCGGGAGACCTTCGTGTTTCTCTAAGAGCAATTTTTTTCGTTGACCGGTCAACCCAGAAATTCATCTTCGCGTTCGCGGAACCTCTCTCGCGTTCGCGAAGAACAAAAGTTCGCACCCGAAACCAACAATCTTTTCCGACACAGAAATGGGCATAACTCTCTCATCCGACCTTGGAATTTGACGATTCTTGTTGCTATGGTTCCGTAATTACGATACGGATCTAATGGTTTAATCTAATCCTAAATCAAATGTCGTTTGCTTAATACAGTACCCTTTATGCCCAAAGAAACGACGCTAAAACATCAAATAAGAGCGCGACACAACCCAAACACGTCCGAAAAATACCCGAGGCTTTCGGGACCCCACTCAACCATACCAACGCATCCTAAAATATGATACAAACTCAGTCAAAGCCTCAAATCACGTAAAAAAACCCTCAAAACTATGAATCGACGATAAAATCATTCTCTCAACTTTAAAACATTCAAACTTCGACGAACGCGTCTGAACCATATCTAGACATTCCGGAATGATGCCAAGCTTTACGTGCAAGTCACAAATCATAATACGAACTTATTCCAAGGCTCGGAACCCTAAACGGACCTCGATAACACCAAAGTCCTCTTCAAACCAAACTTAGGAAATTCTAAAAACTATCAAAATGCCAAACTTTCTACAATAAGCACTGAAATGCTCCCTGACCACCTGATACTCAACCCGAACATACGTCCAAGTCCGAAATTATCATACGAACCTATTGGAACCTTCAAATCCCAATTTCGAGGTTGTTTACTCAAAAGTCAAACCTTGGTCAACTCTTCCAACTTAAAACTTGCGAATTGAGAATTTTCCTTTTGAATCAACTCCGAACTTTCCCGAAATTCAATTCCAACTACGCGTACAAGTCATAAAACATGAAGTGAAGCTACTCAAGGTCTCAAACCGCCGAATAACATACTAGATATCAAAATGATTGGTCGGGTCGTTACATTCTCCCCAACTTAAACATACGTTCGTCCTCGAACGTGCCAAGAACCGTTCCAGAGTTGCTCAAAATCACTGCTTAACACCTCGTGCACCTACCCGTGCTGCCATAATCCATATGAGCACATTAACTCAAGCCAGACTGAAGATCCTTCCTGCTATCTTAGCCCACTAGCCTTAGAACAAAATTCCAACATCCTAAATTCTCTAACAGGCCTAATTCTAAAATATGCACGCCGTATCAATCTCAACACGCTGCACCAAAATATGATCATGCACCCATGCTGAATTCGCGCAATGCACCCCATAATTCGTATGCTCATAATAACATCCTCCAACCACAATAGCTGCAAATTCATGAACCTGATGCCCATAATATACCTCATAGCGCATATAAGCCATGTTCCAACCCTCACAATACTGCAAAAAAGAAAGAGATGTGTAGAAACTCATACCCATCTGCAAAATCAATAACTCATAAAGTCTCTCTGCTTGGCGAGAAATATTGCCTCATTCTGAACTGATTAGTGACATTTTCCCTCTAATATACATTATACAAATCTGATTGCACTAATTCCAGGTCCAACAACCTTGTCTCGCCCAATACAAGCTGCTCGAGCAATAAGCCACCTCAAACACCGTCTAAAATCTCATACGACCCCATAAAGGAGCCAAAAAGACACAACTCGAATATGACCAATAAGGAATAATGAACCCGAATACAAGACTATCCGGTCTGCGCAATGAAGAAAAACAACCAAACTAATGCTATGAACCTATCTCAGAGATGAAAAACAAAACACACAAAATAAGTATA